AAGCTCTCACATGGGCTTCCACTACAGCTCTCGACTGCGGCGAAAACTGTCAACACACGCCATACTTCCTGAACCAGAAGGCTGTAATGTTCTAGCATGCCAAAACTGTTGATCATTCACCTTAATCAATAAATTTGTAATGTAGTGATTTCTTGGTGCTTCATTTGGATTCACTTGTCCACGTTGACCCCCTGCCGTCGCTGTTCTGGGTGTGTTGAGCCTGTTTGGAGTCGGGAGCCCTCGGCTTCAGATGACCTTGAGCATCTGATCGCAGTGGCAATTTAACTTAAGCACATGCTTTTGGCGGCTGCTGCTCTATCTAAGAACAACAACATATGTGAGCTGCTCCAATCTATGTTCTAAATGTACCCACATTTGCAATCTTTTGTATAGATCTCAACACCCATATCGCACCGCTGTTCACTTTTCTGAAAGCCTTTTCATGGCATCCGCAGGCGTGGTGACTGCATTCACAGTGATAACAATTTATTCCACATTGTTTACAAGCACGCCCACTCATATACCTACACCTGGATAGGGAGACAGGCAGATAGTTGCATAGATTGATAGACATATAGATAGATAGATGGATGGATAGATAGCTAGATGAATATATGAATATAAATGTATATATATATATATATATATATATATATATATATATATATATATGTAACGTGGATTTACATATACATACATAGTTGTTAACAACTCCATACAACTTTTAACAACTTTAACAACTCCATACAAAGTTGTTAAAGTCACAGTTATGTCGCCTATTATTAGTTTTACATGTGACTCATACTATATATATGCACATATATATATATATATATATATATATATATATATATATATATATATATATATATATATGACAAGTTTGCAAACATGACTTTAGCAACCTTGTATATTATATATATATATATATATATATATATATATATATATATATATACATATCAAACAAACTAACTCCATGCTTTGTTACAAACCAAGCAAACAAACAAACAAATAAATCGAGCGAACAAGCTAACTCCATACAAAGTTGTTAAAGTCACAGTTATGTCGCCTATTATTAGTTTTACATGTGACCCATGCTATATATATGTACATATATATATATATATATATATATATATATATATATATATATATATATATATATATATATATATGTGTGTGTGTGTGTGTGTGTGTGTGTGTGTGTGTGTATATATATATATATATATATATATATATATATATATATATATATATATATGTATGTATGTATGTATGTATGTATGTATGTATATGTAAGTCCACGTTGCGCCTCCAGCAGTCATCCACCATTACGGCTCTAGTTGATACAAGTGGTGCACGCTCGCTGTGCTGTGCGAAGAGGCAGCACTGCTGGCATCGGCAGTGCCGCCAGCAAGGATGCAGTGCTGACTCGTGTTTCAATGATAAGAAATTGGTCTCAGTTAACACTTGTAAGCGGTCTCACACCCATGGAACACTCGGAAACATTGTTCCTGTTCAACGCGCTCAGGACATCGAGCAGATAGCATTTAGTTGTAATTCCGGATCGGCTCGCCACGCGGAGGCGCGATGCCGTTGACGTTGGTGTCGCATCGCCTCAGGATATAACATTGGCTCGTCCCCCAACGATACACAGTGGGTCCTGATTGGATTTTGAAAGCTTTTAATGTTCGCGTCAAATGGCAGTCCTTTGCCAGTGGTGGCTGTGTACTCATTGTTGCTCGGTCTTCGCGGCATGTGTCAAATGGCTGAGTCTTTGCACTGGTTTCTCCTACATATGTGAAAAACATGTTCCTGCTAAATGCCAAAGCATGCCCTCCCCCCGCGGTGTGAGCGACATCGGTAATGGACGGGCGTGAGTTTATGTCGTGGATTGCCACGCAGATCACGGCAATCCGCGAAGGCGTCTGCGCTGCGCGCCTGGCTAAACAGATGCGTACAGAGTGCGGGCGAAGACGAGTGGATTAGATCAGCTAGAGCCGTGGTGGTGGATGATGCTATTGTGTCCTGTCGGAACAGATCTTTTGCAAGCGTTCAATGGATTTTCGTTGCTAGTTTTCCCTGGCAAGAGTGTTTGTCCGATCCACGCGAACCATGCTCCATTTTACTTGAGGCGCTCTAATCCATCGCTAATCCATCAAAACGCCGATATGAGTCAAGAACTGGTCCAATAAATTAATCGCAGACCTCAATCGACAAATTGATTGCATCCAAAAGGCAGGTCCCATTATCTCCCTTCGCCCGTGTATATTTGGCTGGCATGTTACATTGCTGCACATTGCTGTCTTTTTATTTATATTTTATTTTGTTTTAAGACCGAGTCCGAACCTATTGAGTGGACGGCCTTCTAGGCCCGGAGCTCACGCTAAGCAGTGCTTGTTGTGTGAGCCCCACCCCTGCTATCCGACCATGCAACTCCAGGCCAACGGCAGAATCTGGTGGCGATAGCAGAACGCGCCGTAATGCCTGGCACGGCCCGTCTGGCCCTCTTACGTCCTGTGGCCTGTAGCGTGGCCGCCTACGCCGGACCCAGGTCATGCTTGTCGAGGGCAAATAGCGAGTGTCTGAGGGGACTCGAGATCACCCCGCCACGGATGGGTGAATCGAAAAGTAGGCGCTCTAACCCACTGACCAAATAGCCGGACGGCCTCTGTCCCAGATGGTTGGAATATAATTAGTTATGTTCTACATTTCATTGATGGCTGCGTCTAAGTCACTGATATGCAAATATTTCCTGCATAGCTTGCGGGCTAAGCTTTTCATTGTCGCTCTGCGACCATCTCTGAATTATAATGGCTTAAGGTGGGTGGTGTCGATGTCCCCAACCTGATATCTCGAATTATGTTGGTCTGATTATGTCGCGTGATGGCTTAATCTGGTCATCAAAGATTGATCTCCCTCGTAATGTATACGAGCTCCAAAAATGCCTTAAATGGCGCGCCTATGTACGGACAGAATGGAGTAAAAAGAATTTGGCGATGTCCCGTCTTTAGTGGATCTCAATGACGCTGAATGCATAAAACAGCGGTTTCAAGCACCCATATAGAGCATTATGCGATATGCGTAAAGCGCTTTTATGTCAGTGGTACAGGCTTAAGTATACAGTTAGGGTGAAAATCACACTTGGTTGATGCTTCTCAACAAAGCTTCTCTGTTGACCATGTCTAGAGTGGCCTAGAAATACTAAACGTATTCAGAAATGATACATTGTCCCACAAACAACTGACCTCTGTTCCTTAAGAAAAAACTGCTAGCGACGGCTCAGGTCAGGAAAGTATAACCTATCAGACGATGCTATTTGGATGTTATGATATTGAAATAACAGACTGACTATAACGCTGCGGCAGTTGATAAGCTTGTTTGTGACGGCGTAATGGCTGTAAGAACACACTGGTCAGTTGTTTTTGCCGATGGTGTACGCCTGAGCCGCTAAATGAGAGGGCGGTGCCATTGCCACTCATGGCATCCTGTCAAACATTGTGTGGCGCTGCAAATAATTAGTATACCTGTCTAGGACGCGTGCAAGTGCAGCTCGTTCCCTGGACTAATTTCCTCTCCATATTACCTGAACCGCTCTTTCTCCGTTGTTTGTCGTTGCAATATGCAAAGTTTTTAAATCACCGTAAAGTATTGGTTCGGAGGTATCCCACTCAAAGTCATATTGTCCGGCGCCGCTTTATTCATGACTACGTGCACATCTGCAGCATGATGATTGTCAATAAATATGATACCAGCAACCGGTAAAGAAAACTGCAAGCAATCTGTGCGCATGCCTTCAGAAAATATTCAAAAGCTGCCTGGGATCTCCCAATTAATTCGTTGCTGCGAATTGCATTTGCCCCATCTATTCCAACATGTTTCAGACCGTCTGACCACCAGCTAAAGCTACCCGTGGTCACCATCGGCACAGCTAACAAAAGTCACCCAGCCTCCTGTTTTCCGCGCCGTCAAAAACTGCGGGAGCTGAAACCTTTCTCAGTCGCATAGCGATCTCATTTCTCCGCCACTGCCGGAACCGCTGGCCGAAACAGAACTGCTCTGGACAGCCGACCGATTGGCTGTGCACCCGGCTTGGCACGCGACCCACCAGGTCTGACACGCACAAGCTCCTGCCGACACGTAGAAGTTCCCGTCGACCTACCAGGTCCGACACGCACGCGCTCCCGCCGACCTACCAGGTCCGACACGCACGCGCTCCTGCCGACCCACCAGGTCCGACACACACGCGCTCCCGCCGACCTACCAGGTCAGACACGCACGCGCTTCCGCCGGCCCACCACGTTCGACACGCACGCTCTCCTTCTGACCCACCAGGTCCGACACACATGCGCTCCCACCGACCTACCAGGTCAGACACACACGCGCTCCCGCCGACACGCCAGGTCCGACACACGCCCGCGTTCCCACCGACATGCCAGGTCCGACACGCACACGCTCCCGCCGACACGCACGCGCTCCCACCGACACGCCAGGTCCGACACGCAGGCGCTCCTGCCGACACGCCAGGTCCGACACGCACGCGCTCCCGCCGACACGCCAGGTCCGACACGTATGCGCTCTCGCCGACACGCCAGGTCCGACACGCACGCGCTCCCGCCGACACGCCAGGTCCGACACGCACGCGTTCTCGCCGACCGGCCAGGTCCGACACGCACGTGCTCCCGCCGACCGGCCAGGTCCGACACGCACGTGCTCCCGCCGACCGGCCAGGTCCGACACGCACGTGCTCCCGCCGACCGGCCAGGTCCGACACGCACGCGTTCTCGCCGACCGGCCAGGTCCGACACGCACGTGCTCCCGCCGGCCGGCCAGGTCCGACACGCACGCGTTCTCGCCGACCGGCCAGGTCCGACACGCACGTGCTCCCGCCGACCGGCCAGGTCCGACACGCACGTGCTCCCGCCGACCGGCCAGGTCCGACACGCACGTGCTCCCGCCGACCGGCCAGGTCCGACACGCACGCGTTCTCGCCGCAGAGGGCGTGCTGATGGTCAGCCCGACGTTGGAGGAGCGACGTCGCGTCTTCGGCCGTGTCACGTGCTCCATGCGCTACGGCTGCGACGCTATGGAGCTTCTGGGCCTCAGCTTCGAGGAGGACGTGGTGCTGGCGGCGGAGCAGATGTACCCGCGGCTCACCGCCGACACCGAACCCACCCAGCTGCAGGTCAGTGTCCAGCACCGAGTCGGCCCGGCTGATGAATCGGCCATATATAGTACAGCCACGCGTGAAATAGTGCAGGCTGGTTCACACACGCCTGCACTGCATACATACACCACGCATTCTGTACATGAACATTTGATTCGCGCTTGATGCATTGCTATTCAAGTGAACCATATCACATGCCGATCTCTGAAATTCGAGATACAGAGCTGAGTACACGGCCAGCGACACTTGCCGGGTCATGATATTCGTTTTTGTGTATCATTTTACGGTTCCCATAGTTATGGGCAGGCAACATTTGCGGCTAAGGATTATGGACTTCTACTTCACTTCATCTTGCCTGTTGCGGGTATGACCAACATCGTTGTCCGATACGTATCACAATATGAAACTTTTTTGTTCCATCTTTCCATGTGGCGATAGGCTCTGTGACCAACGTCAATAAGCCAAAAACCGGGCAGAGAAACTCAATTTTACCAAGAAAGAGCCCAACCTGCTGCCTTCTCGGCTATCTGATTTCGTATAACGAACGTAGCCAACCATCTGGCTCATGGTTGGGGGCTGCACTGGGCCACACACATCTGGACACTATCACGTATGGCTTGTCCACCCTTCAATATACCAATATACCAGTCTGAACGAAGATGCCAAGCAATCATTGTTTGAACCTTTTGGAATACTACCTCATTTGCTTTACGTTTTCTTATGTCTGTTCTTTTTTAAATTTGTTCACTCGTGGCCATGAGGATTGTGCCCTGCCCCAAAGCATCGAGTATTTTCAAAATTGTACGTCAATGATTGACTGACACCTTCGTTTAACCAGGTACAAGCCTGGTACATTCGAGGTTGGTTATTGTCATCATAACAACTCACCATGCCGAAAAAATCACAGCGCCGCCCATTTTGGCTCATTATGCTTGCCTACGTAATCCAGGTAACTCCTCTGTCTGGGTCTCTGGGTGCGGTGGCTGGTGTGATCCACTGCTAGCAATCGGTGTCGTGTGTTCCGGGCAAGGCACATATCCCTCTGAACCACCCTGCCAGCCCCTCCCCCATTGCGTGGGAGCATGTTACGCATTCAGAAGCGCGCGATGCCGATGGAAAACTGGCAGCCCGCCAGCATCGGCGTTTCAAGTTGTGAAATGTCATCTCTGGTCTATTTTTGCGCAGATTGGTAATAGATTACCGGCTTAATGGAAGTCAATATTTCAGTGACGTCTCTGACTCCATCTGAGGCGTGTCCGATGCCCAAGGCTGCGAGCCTGTGCTGAGTTGTCTGCTGAGTTGTTGGTGTCCCACCACGGTGTTTGGACTCGCCGCATGAGCCGCCTCTGGCCAAATGATGGAGCTTCTCACCAAACATGGCGTGCTCTGTGCTTAGCAGCATAAGTCCATGCCGGCTCGGTCAACGGAGCTTGCCTCGTCGGAAACTATGAACTTTTCTTCAGTTCAGACAGACCTGGCGACTCCTTGTTTGTGCGCCTGATGGCACCAGACCGGTGCGATCGCTTGGCTGGACGCTGGAGCATTTGGCCTTCGGTAGCTGGGCGCGTGTCCGCTGGAAGGAGCCTAAGCCTATACGGGCTGGCACATGTTCCACAACGCTGTTCCAGATGAGACCGAATTCATTCTGGTGATAATTTAGAGCCGCGGCCTCCTCGGCTTTATCGAGCTCGCCGGCGCGTGGATTCGAGCGACGTGACCCGGGCACAGGTCCATCGAAGCAGGACCAGGAGCCTGAAGGCAGCAGCATAGATGCGGGTTCCTGATGAGTCATCGCTATCAGAGTCACCACCGGAGTCCTCGGATTTCCCCCGGCCTCCCAGCGCAACCGTAGGATCGACTCGGCCCAAGCTAGTGGTGCTCTTGCCAAGCGTGGAACACGGCCGGCTGTGTATTACCCACGGTTGGAACACGTCACTTTCCCCGTCCTCCTGTTCAGGTCGAGGAAAAGGCTCACTTTGCCCGAGCGAAACAAAACTATTCTATACAAAACTATAATGTGCATGCCTACACTGCCTAAGAACGTGGGGCATAGATGTCGGGTTCAGGACAGTCCAGATCCAGGACTTTGTCAGGGGATATTTAGGTCACTTATTTTTGGCATAGGAATTGATGATGGCGACAACTAGGAGCTCGATATCTTTCTTCCTTTTGTCATGTATCCTGGAAAAACAGCAGGATCTGCTTTATTTCATACATTTTGGAGCTCGAAAAGCCAATATTCCATACGGACTTCCATTTATTTTAATATTCAGTATTGTGAATATATTCCGACGATGCACATTTAAGGCACTACAGCCGTGCAGCCTTGTAACGTCCGTAACGCTGGACCTGGCTTGGTGGGCTCGATGTCAAGCGTCACAAGCGCGTCTTGCAGGATATAGAGCGCCGCGGACCCGCCGCGTCCCAGGTCGTGATCACAAAACGATGACGTCGTCGCGAGGCTGTCAGATGGTGCCGCTGCAGCTCAGGTCAGCCCGTTGGTATGGAGCGGTCACGACCTGGCAGTCACTGGGGCCCCCACTGGGCAGGGCCAGTGACGTCCGGCGACGAGCGCTGCCCGCTCGATCAGACCCCTCGTGGCAGACGCACTGCGCCAAGATCTGCCGCAGCGGACCGGTGATGATATCTGGGTTTATGTACGCCTCGGCTGTGCCGGTGGATAGGAGGGTGGTGTGCGAGACAGCCGAAATCGAGCGCGGATGGAGAGCCCGGCTTGCAATGTAGTCGCCTGGCTCAAACAAGCGCATTCCGATTACACAGATCAGGCTCACCCACCGGCCGAGTCCGTGGCGTACTGCCAGCCCGGAGCTGCGAGGTGTGAAGCGCGAGAGACCTCGCTCGGTGAAGGCCGAAAGGTCGACTCGTGGCTTGAGGACTAGCCAAACCTATCAACCCAACGAAACACGGTCAAGGATACTCAGTGCCGAGCGAGAACTTCGTTGTTCTGCCATCAAAGAAATACTCGCGTAAGACGACGTGGGAAAGCTTAGACCAACTTTTGTGCCTAAAAATGTATTGTGCAACCGAAGCATGCAAAGGGGCCTGCTATGCCAGCAAGGGGCGCACCGGGGCCTTCTCACAGGTCAAATGGTATTCTCGCCTCCATTGGAGCCCTGGTAGTAGCCGACCTGTTAACAGCTTTATAAAGAGAGAACGGCATACAATTGCGGCGTAGTGAGTAACTTCACAAGCTTTTTCTTCGAATCCAGCTGCATAGAGTAAATAGTGACCATTTACTTCAACAACCGTAAAATTCAATACTGACGGCAAAAAAATTAGCTGGAGAAAGCAGATACTCCTTTCTTCAGCGGACATCATCGCCGGATCTCCATAAACGCAGCTGGTTTGACCATGGAGAAGACATATACTCCGAAACGTAAGTAAAATAAAAAAATGCTCTGGTTGGCCGTAAAATAGTCAATGGCGATCATAGAAGAGCCGGCACGTGGCCATGCGGGAGCGGAGGAACACGGCATTTAGACCGAAGATCGGCCTGCAGTGAGAAACTACTTAACTGCGAGCTGGTGCCAACATATCAGGGGCGGACGAGTACGCGCACGTGACAAAAGCGATGCAACGACGGTTCGTGTAGTAGCCTGGCGGACAGCACAAACATAAAACTGTGGTGGATAAAGCTGGCAGGTTGTTATAAAAACCAGACTTTTCCACATGTCGCTGATTTCACTAGATCCTGTTCTTCTTCTTTGTTGTTATGACATGAACATATATGATAAAGGTCGGAAAATGCACAACCGAATGTAATGGTAAAGTTAGCCATTTCAGGGAGCTTTGTCGCCGAGGTGCATATTGCCTTCACACGTAGCACAGGAAACCCCAGAGTATGAGCGCACGAAACACCGCCTTGTTCACTTCTACGAACAGCGGAGTAATATCGAGAACGATGAGATGTCTGCATTCGAGCGAATAAAAAAGTGATCGTTATTAGGCTATAAATTAATTGCCACCCAAATAGCAACTTCGTTACTGGATTTATCTATAAAGACCACACTTATTATGCAACCTAAGCAATATTTCCGGATTTGTTAGGAGCATACTGACCTCCCGGGTCCAAGGCGACAACATCGTTGTCACGGGAATGGCCGCCTGTTTCGCTTCAGCGTCGGCATTTTACGATTTACTTCGGAGGAGTGATGCCAGGTTTATGACACCGGTGTGGGAAGTGGGGAGTTACGCCAGAATTACTTCGTCCAGACCAAAGCTAGTAGAAGCTTCTCTTCATGAAACTGTTTTCAGAAACAAAACATAGAAACACTCGCTGTCTACCCCGATAAGGCCGTCTTCTTTCCCGCCCTGGCCGCTGTTGGTGGGTTCCGGCTTCATCCCATCACGCTTCCTGAACTATTCAACTGCCTGCATAGCATGTCATCTGAGAGAATGTGCTGATGATGATCTCACGGCGATGTGACGTCATCAGTGCATGGAATCCGAGCCTGAAAATAACCGCGTATGCTCGACCGCGGTCACTATGACCTAATGTATGACCCATGACCCCTGGCATCTCCGTCGATAGCGCTCAGAGCTGGCGATGAAACAAGTACGATTGGTCTCATGAAGAGTTTAAAATATGTTTGTCGTTTTTGTATGTGCTTAGCACGGCCCATGATTGCATACAAAACCCAAAACGTCGAGGACACCACCGAAACACACCAGAGTGGACAATTATACAAGTGCTACAATCTCCATACGCGACAAAAGTATGCATAAAACCTGACAGCTTAGGCGAACTCATTACAAAATGAGCGATTTGACAACACTCAGAAACTTAACAAGATACATTGCGACGACTCATTTTGCCAAGCCAAGGTTTCATTTGACGAATAAAAAGTGATTCACAAATCTGCCGTGGAGGATGATCTGTGGTGTTCTGCAACATTTGAATGGACCTTGTGAGACAATGACATTTATATATCAAGCTGCTAAAGTTGCATCTACCTGAATGCAAAGTTGTCACGTGCCCGTTTTCAAATTTTGGTTCCATGTGCTTTTTGACGGGATAATGTGTGACGGCATGTTTCACCTCTAACTGCATGGTGACTTTATTGACCTTTAGAGGTCTTGTTCCAAATGGTACATATACTGACGTCATGCTGATTACTAGGTGGTTTTCACATTTATGCCTGTCGCATTTTTCGCGGAGAAATGCTTGATTGTTTTTATTTATCCCTGATTGCCTGGTTTTCAGATACAGGTTCGTGCTTGCTGACTGAGGGGTGTGTGACCGCGTTTTTTACCTCCAATTTCCTGTCGATCTTACATGGACCTTAAAGATCCTGTTGCCGGTGGCGCATGTACGTGACATCGTGCCCACTGCGTACCTACTTTCATATTCAGATTGCATGCATTAAGGACTGAGTGATGTTTGACTGCGTGCTCGGCGTCTTCGAGTACGAATCTAAATATGAATACGTGGCTCACTACCTGGACGTATAGCGACTACGCGTCGAAAGTTGTTGGATTTCACCCGCGTTATTTTCAGATTGACATTAGCGGTTAGCGCATTAGCGGTTACAGTACCACGAACAGGCGAGATTTTGGTGGGCACTGTGTTGTTGACGAGAAATATGAAAACGAACAGTGAACTGTGACATGAAGCTGTTTAAAACGGCATGCCCAGCTGGCTACGGAATCAAGAGCACTCCCCAAAAACAAAAACAAAAACAAAAAGTATCGGTAAGTCAGCCCGTGGGTCTCAGGCAATGCCGCAGAGATTGCCGAGGAAATTGGGAAGAAACCAGGATGAAAGTGAAGGGTCATAGGATGATCACGAGGTCTCCAGCAGATTGACATATTAGGCGCTCCGAAAACAGCGTAGGGCCCTCCGAGCATATGGGAAGAACATAAGTCGAATGTGCAAGGCCCCTTCGGCAATTTAGAGTGCCTTGCAAATCAGCATGCAAGTTCCAAGTGTTGCGTGTGCAAGTGTAGTGTAGTGTAGTGCAGCAAGCGTAAGGCCCTTGGATGGTGTGCTGCTTTTCATAGCCGCAGGAACGTTTCAAAAAGTGTGGGGGGCCAAGCTCAGGGTGTGCTTCAGGAACTTTTTCTGGAAAGCGAGCCCGATGACCGGGGGGAGGGGGGGGGGGGGGTAGGATGGATATTGTTATCCTCTTCGCTCAAATGTCATGGCTGCTATGCTGCCTATGCATCTAGAGCTGTTTATCACTGGTGCACAATCTCGCCTTTTCGACTCGTCTGTCATTTGGCAAATAAGGCTATCCAGCTTCCCTACATTATTCGTCCATTTTAACATTGTCTTTCCTTGGGAGACGAAATTCCACGAGCGGGCAGGTATTTTGGGTCATTAAGGAAGCAATTGCCTGCACAGTGCAGATGCCAAAATACGGCATGGATATAGGCTGGTTAGAATTTTGAAAGTGGATCGATGGCTCACAGTGCGCCAGGGTTTCCATGCGCCTTCATTTCGCTGGCTGCTTTTCAAGAAATAAGACTTGTCGCAGCATTTTAGGCGGAAGCAAATTCTGGAGATTGAAACTGCCAGAAGCAATGTGACAAAACCCATAAAACTGGATATTCTCTTTTAAGAATCAAGCCACCTAATAAGGCCCATGCGTCATATGTTCCTTATCTGGGCTCTGCTCCTGTCCACCGTCGGTGATCACTGCCCTGGCCTGGATGTCTCCCGCATGACTGACTGCGAGCTGATCGTGTGGCTACTTTGTTGCATACTTCTGGATCAGCGTTACTTCTACACGGTGTATGAGACATGCGCTGGACACCTGCAACAGTATTCTTCCCGAATCATCTTCTCTTATGCCACACCGTCGCAGAAAATGGCCTCCGGGAAGTTGTCTGCCTTAGTTATGGAATGGCCAACGGACACTTACCCATCATGCAACGTAAAAAGCCCATCTTATTGTGATCCCCCCCCCCCCCCAAATCCCCGATTTGGCTCACTTGTTAGCAAGTGACACGGTTTTCTTCGTTTTGTTGTTATTTTTACCTTGTAACTGGAACAGAAACCAGGAGCCACCGTGGGCTCAATTCTGTTTGCATTTTGAGGTCAATAAGATGCAGAAATCAGGCGTTGAACAACCGCATGGAAGAAATCACCGGCACTCTTAATTTACAATGGTTAGCCGAGTCTTTCTAAACCGATAAAATTTAGAAGCCTTGTCAATGTTTTATCTGGATGGCCAAGCCATGTTTGTCTGAAAATGTTCGCCACTCAGTCAGAATCGATTAGTAATACAATTCATGCAACGTTTTTTTTAACATGCTCGCTCGCAAATCTTGGCAACAAAAACCTCGATACCAGGCGTTGCCGTCTCCATAGTCCGCGGAGCGTTAGCCCAGTAGCTTACATTTAGCCGTGGTTCACCGGTGGACGAAAATAATGACGCTTGTTATACAAGTTATGTGGCGTAATTTTGAGCATGCACACCCCAAAATTTTAGAAATACAAGCCTCGACCCCAGGCGTTGCAGTCTCCGTAGGCCGTCGGCCCAGCGTCGGCCCAGCAGCTAATTTTAAGTTGTGGCCAACGAGTGGACGAAAATGACGACGCCTCTGAGAAAGTATCCTTGGACGCTTCATGACATCAGATCTTGTATTTAGAAGGCAGTCCGAGGGCATATTTCACGCGTGCAATTTTTAGATTGGTGAAAAGAACGGGTTGGCCTCTAAAGCACTGCGAAGCGGGGCTGGAATCTGGTGGTTGAACTGGAAGAGTGAAGGTAAAATTTCTATTTTTCGTGTTTCCGAAGCTATTTATCTGTCCAGAAGACATTAACACGGCGCCCGCCGTCTGGTGGCACTTGCAGTGGCCGAAACTTATCGCTTTTACGGAAGTCGCAACCCAGACCATCCTTGTCCCTGCTCTCGAGGTTGCGGGCAGGCATGTTCAAGCCTTTTGACGTAATTTGTTTCAAGAATACATTCTGAAAGAAGTGAACGTTCTCAGGCAAACATGGCATGCCCTTGCTCGTTTTTTAAATTCATCTCGACCCGTTTTTTCAGCAATAATGAGAGCCCTTATTCCCCTCCGGGCAAGACGCCTCTTGAGTAAAACACCACGGGTACATTACCGCTTCCGGTCAAGGGCTGAAGGGCCATTTTGTCTCACCGCCAAGTGTCTTCTGACTATCATCCTCGTGGCACGGGGCGGGATCTCCTGGTCGATCCGGAGGTCATTAGAGGGATGCATCATATCACATTGTTCCCATCTCTGACACGGGAGACCTTCTGATCCGCGCAGTTAGCCCCGTATCAGCACAGGGCCCCTCACTGACGCAACAACATCCCTGATCGCCGCAGACAGTCCGATAGTTTTTACATACACTCCGGTTCCATATTTTTCTGTGTTCTTCAGAGATAATGAGTCCTCCCTGACTATAGATTTCAGATCAAATGGGTTTCATAATTTTTATGAACATGGCTAGCCCATGTTCGTCTTATAATGCTCAAGATCCTGCCAGAGCTGATTGCTGATAAGAAAACTATGTAATATGGTGCTGAGCATGCGTGCTCGCAAGTCATGGCAATAATAGCCACGACGTCCGGCGTTGCAGTCTCCAGCTCGTGCGGCGTCGGCTTCGGGCAGGCACCCGTGGCTGACAACGGCACCCGTGACTGACAGCGGCGCCCGTGTCTGACAGCGGCGCCAGTGTCTGACAACGGCACCCGTGACTGACGGCGGCACCCGTCTCTGACAGCGGTGCCAGTGTCTGACAGCGGCGCCAGTGTCTGACAGCAGTGTCCGTGTCCGGCAGCGGCTACTGCTGCGGCGGCTAGGACCTCGCGCCACGCCCTTCTCCTTCTGCCTGCCGCTGCAGTCGCCCAGCACAGTAGCGCTGTGTCCCAACGATGGTGAGGAGAGCAACTTCTGCGGCGTCACCTACACCCTGTCGGCGTCGGCGGCCGACGACGAGTGGGAGCAGCCGTTCAAAAGGTACCGCTCGTCCGACGGCCCCCACGCCATCGGTGTTCACAGCCCGACCCGTTCCCCTGTAGTGATGGTGGTTGTGAATTTTTGGGTGTGTAACGTTTTTGGCAAGCGTCGGCCAGGAACGGTGAGCTTTTTCCAGCGCCGGAAAACGCATGAGCTCTTTGATAAGCGCAAATCATAAAGAGTGCGTGTCGGTCTTCGGCAGGAGTTCCGCGTTTCCAGTCCGTGCGTGGGCAGGTTACTTTCCTGCTGGGTGGCCTGACTGGCAGGTGGAGACGCCAGCAGTGGAGCGGCGACTAGCGTCGATGATAAATGCCCTCCATTATAAGTTAGATTTAGGGCCTCATCAGTCGGCGTCACAAGCGAGCCAGCATGTTCAGTGCCGCACGCCGTCGATGCCCCGCGTCCCGCCACGTGAGGGGCAGCTGCGACGCGGTAGATCGGGCGCGTTCACATTGCCGACTGTGGCAGCAGGGTTTTTTCGACACGATATCGCTGCGCATTGAATGCTCTTCAAGTAATGACCTCCGTTTACTTGTGAGTGGGCATTTCAATCTCTGTTAGATATGTGGATGACCTTTTTGTGGGCGTTGGATATAGGCCAACCTGCTCTGCCATTGAGTTGGGTTCGATGGAAATGAGACGTATAAGATGGCTCCGGTTTTTGCTATGAGTGAATTGAGTCAGCCCTACGCCAATCACTTACCGGAAGTTATGGCTGATCACTTCACTTGCACTGGCCATCTGGCGGCGGAAGCCGAGGCGAAACACGCATTCGATCCGCCGCGCGGTGGATTAGTGGCGCGGTGTGTCCCGGGAAACATGTTCCTTTACGTACCCACGGGAAACAGATGACGCTGCTGGTATCATCGTGCGCTCCCATTACGTTTCCGCAACAGCCTCCGAGATCTGCATTACTGGGACTCAGCCCGACCCAACCGTCAGCTGGCCAGATCGATGTTTGTCTGTAGTGTGGTGAGATGGTGGATGGAAGCAGCCTCACGCCCTCGGACAGACCTTCACACATCCAGTCACATGCTATGGAAGTTGATGATTTAGACGTTGAAATAGCGACATATCCTGACAGTAGCAAGCCACAGTTTAAGATCAGCAGGCTCAAGCTTTCACTGTGACACTAACCTGGACTCTAGATGTCAAAGATTGAGTTATATTATAGCATGAAGTGAGCGGAAGGGGGAGACGCGAGAACAAAACCGAAAAGAAAAAACGTCAGAGGATGATGGTGACGTAGAACACTCCGAACGCCTGACGTTAGTTATACTTTCAGCTACTGGGCCGTGAAGAAAGCCCACCAGATCACGTAGCAGACGACCAGGTAGGGTGACCGAACTCCAATTAGTCAGCGGAAGGCTCACTTCATTTATCATCGTCCAGAGTCGTCACCGGTACCCCCCCCCCCCTTTCCATGCAGTCTGCCGGCCTCAGCAACGTGACTGAACAAAAAACGAACTGGAGTGCCGCGAAGGAGCTGAGAACCTAGAACGGACGCGGTTCCGTTGCACTGACCTCAACATTTTCTCCGGACGGTGCGGCGGTGCCAGCGGAGCTCTCACTCGGCCGACAAGGGTCGGCACACGAGGCTCACGTCTTATGCGTCCGGAGGTTGCCTTGTTCCGAGCCACTGCCAGCCTTGCCACAGCGCGTGCGGTGCCGGCAGTTCCACGGCCTTGGTCACCATCCGCAAGCTGCAGGGCTCGCCGGCGCGCGTGCTGGCGCCACCCTGCCTCAGCGTCAGCCGGCGCTTCATGCTCAGCCCCGGGGAGCTGCACCTGCAGGCTAGCCTGGACAAACAGGTGAGCACGCTGGTGAGCGGCGGAAGACCGGTGAATGGTCGCGGCTTTGAAGCGACTAGCGTTCTGGACAACTGCAACCGAAGTGTTGTAAATGCGCAAATTTATTGGGTGGATGCTGCTAACCATGAACTAGCCCCCATGTCTGTATCGATTTCATAGCGGCAGCTTGCGCGGTTCAGTTGCTAGCGTTTCCTTTCGGGATCATTTGACAAAAAAGGGATATTGGTCGTTTTCTGATCGATTGCTTGCATCGCAATGGGCCAGACGCCGTTAGACAGCGTCGGACCCGGTGATTAGTAGACGTTATACGTACAATGTACGAGCTCCTAAACGGTACAGTCGGTTTCACGTTGTTACCTGCTCGAGTTATTGAGATTCACCGGTCCTGAAAAAAGCGCTCCAAAACCGGGCAATCTGTTGCCTGCGTTCAACGGCACGTGCATGACTATGTGCATCAATTGGCACTTTCGCTATCATCAATGTGCATCAATTGGCACTTACAATCATCCGTCTATATGCACATATAAATGCGCTGAAACCGTTTCGCGGCGACCCACCATAGCCAAGCTATGAACCGGGTATTGACGTTCACTTCGACGATTTTGGTCAGTTTGGAAATGTTGCGTTTCCAGCGTTAAAGCGGTGAAGCGTATTTACGTAGTATGCACGCGTTGACGGTTGCCGGCGACCGGATCCGACCCGCCAGGCAGATCCCGTCCCAAGTTTAATGCAGTGATGCGACCCTGCTTGCCTAGCCACGAGCCAAAATGTACGTGGCCAGCTCTCACCGGTACCGAGCTGTGACTTCGTTCATGTTGGACGGGGAAACATTACAAAAACTGACGTGAGATTCGTGTGGGATGCGCCTGCCAGCCCACATTGCTTGATGTCGTCTCCGGCTCGAACTTTCTGAACGGCGCAGTTTGGCTTTGGCTTTCTGAACGGCGCAATTTGGCTCTGGCTTTCTGAACGGCGCAATTTGGAAGCGATGCGCAAGCGCACCAGAAAATGTGCAGCGCCAAATTTCGTGGCTGCCGGGTCAACGACAGCGCGGAAGCAGGATGCGTTTTTAGCATCCTACATTAGTTTTGCATGGATGGTCCGAAAATGACACTCACATCAATCAGGTGAGGAGCAATTGGAAACCGCGCCCACATCTCTCAGTGGTCAGAGCGACAAGAAATTGTCACTTTTACTAGAAGTTATGGGCGGAAAATTGCGTGATGGTAGATAGGCGGTCATCCGTGTCAAGTGTTTTGTGTAAAGGAGCGGTCAAGACGGACTTGCCTCTTTTTCATGTTTTCCACGTTGTATGCCATTTCTCGAGATTCATCGCAGATGGAGACATGAATCCAATGTCAAATCGTCGACCAATGCACTATTTACAATTCTGTTCCCAGCGCAAATTTGCGCGATGCGCGGTTGCGCTAGAAGTCGTCGGGTAAGCTGGGGATGTCGATATTGTATAGTCAAAACTGCTGCCAGGGCCTGGGCTAAATTAACATCACCGAGTGGGCTGATTGGTTTCCTCCCTTCGACTTAGATAAATGGTGAAAACTTTTCATTTTCGTAAGCTCGAAATGACATAGGGTGATCGCCTGGCCGCCGCCGTCGACTATTGCCTGTAAAACAACGAAACCCGCCCGACGGCTGTCTCAACATTATTGAGTTTTTCTACATTTTTTCGCTGCGCCCAAGTAGGTGAGCCAGATTGACGATTTAGTGACTTTGTCCGGGTCTTGTTTTTGGTAGGTATAAAGGAGAATGCACGCATTAAGTTGAGAACAACCTGAGAATATTACAGCAAAAACATTGATGCAAATGCTTGCCTTTTCTAGTGAATCTTGTTATGCCTTCAAAGGACAGAAACACCCAGTATTCTAAAGGGGCTGTTTTGAGGTTGCCCAGGAAAGCGCGGCAGCCTTGAAGTGTGCAGCAGCGCGGGTAAAGAGACTACACGGCATAAGCAATTGCACGGGATCGGGCGCTTCCGTTAGCGGCAGAAGCGGTTTTCCTGAAGCTTTTTGAATGTATGACGAATCACCAACCACAACGGGCAATTAAAGAGCAATATTTGAAGTTGGATTCACTGATGTTACTGACTTATGATGACTCGAAGGGCGTCATTGCGTGATGTGCAATTTATTTTCGCGTACTGTCCGGCTTTGAGTTTTTTCATAAATCTATTCCGAACGGTTTGCATGGCTGACTTAAGACTCCTGATAAGAGTACCTACTAAGCATGATGTCGCGTGCGTGTGTGCTTTGTGCATACCTTGTTGTGCGTACCCTGAACCCACCACCCAAGCCGTGCCTTCTGGTTCAACGGATAATTTGGCCTCCACCCTTTCGCCAGACAGGAATGCGGAGCGTTTTACGTGCCGCACAAGGCTGCGACATGGCCGGCCCGGGCCTGGCTTGACCCTCGTTGGCCAGTTGCCAGCTGATCTTTCCATTTCAGTCGGACCAGACAATACGCCCACTCTGGAACTCGCACCCAGTGGAGCTGGATTACAAATTCAGCATCTTTCTCCGAGAACATGGAGGCAGCACACTATCTTTCCCCAGGTCATCTATGATCTTACACTGAAGTTGTGTAGATTTGATCGAATGCAGTAAAGAACAATACTGGCCAAAAATATAAATCACCTTTGCAATTACTGTGATGTCACTTAGAGCTATCAGCTATGTGCCGAAGACAAGTAAGCCCGTTAGCACTGTGTTATTTGAATAAGTCAGTCCATGCATTGTGATCGATGGCACGCAGCCAGCTGAACTCGCTGACCACTGCTGCTTAACAGCAACGTGTGCACACACGCCCTAGTGTCTCAGTCGTTTTTTCCGCATTGCTATGATGCGGGATGCGGGATAGTCCCTCCCATATTAAACAACCGCTGGGACACACGACAACCGTCCGGCGGACACACGAATAATGATAAGTGATGGTTAATTTTGTTTTTACCGACATTCATTTTTCACAAAGAGCGAATCATTCCTCTATCCTCCCGTCCGTTTGCAATGGGCTGTTTTCTGAAAATTTGAACAGATTTGTACTTCACCGGCGAGACGCTGATGGTCTGGATGCAGAGGCGATTATGTGTGAGTCTTTCACAGATAATCTCTACTATAAACGCGACATTGATTCTTCAAGTCTGGTTGTCGCTAATCTACTTAAGTATGAGTCTGGCATTTAACTGGGATTTATAGACGTCTTTGTCATATTTGCCTCAGTGCCCCGGCCTTAACTATGCCAGACGAGCAACTTGCCTATCGGCTTATTCAAGCTCCTGTGCAAAAACGTGGGCCATTGCCAATTTAGTGTAATCGCCGTGGTTATCTATTGGGGCTGTTGAAAGTTGAAGTGAATCATTTGGGACTGACGTGTTTGGATTATACATGCCAAGGAATGCTGTCTTACCTTCTGTGCAAACCACCACCAACTTCTCCCGCCCCCCAAAAAACTTGTAGAAAACTAAGCCTATTGCATTGCGAAAGAGCTGCACTTCTGTAAAGCCAATTGTTTGAAGGCGCCATGCAGCACGTCCTCAATGAAAAAGTCTAACAACATCATCCACGAAGATGGAAGCGTCCACAGCCTGTCGCATTTGCGTAGGTATACCACCGAGGCGAGAGACTCATCCTCGACATCCACATCAGCAACAGCAGCAGCCGGTCTGTACGGCGCATCAAGGCCACGCTGCTGCAGACGGTGCAGGTGCGCCTATACACCAACAGCGTGCACCGGACCGCAGTCGGCGATGTGCAGATCGAGTGAGTGTGCCAACAGCGTGCACCACACTGCAGTTGGCGATGTGCAGACCGAGTGAGTGTGGCGCAAGGATGCAATGGTGCCTTCATTATTTTATCAGGTGGCATAATTATAGACAAAGCTGACGGCTCTTGCTGGATCGGCGGAACGTCAGCTCGTTGATGTGCTAACGGCAGACGCGTTAAGTCTACATGCTCTTGGTCACAGTTTCGTTCGTGCAGCATGTGGACACCGTCCGGTCCCAATTTCGCCGAGTAAGGAGATCCGACACCAGTGCTTCACATCCTCTCTAGGCACGCACTCTGCGCCAGTGCAGTATTGATCGGGATGTGCGCATAGCCTGGATGTATCCCGAGAAATTTCTGACGCGTTCATTTCAAGACTAGCCAGCTCATTCGCACCCGTCAGATCATACGTCATCCTTTGACCGCCCTTAGACCGCCCTTAGACCGCCCTTAGACCGCCCTTAGACCCCCTTAGACCGCCCTTAGATCATCCCTTAGACCGCCCTTAGACCACCCTTAGACCGCCCTTAGACCACCCTTAGACCACCCTTAGACCGCCCTTAGACCGCCCTTAGACCACCCTTAGACCGCCCTTAGACCACCCTTAGACCGCCCTTAGACCGCCCTTAGACCGCCCTTAGACCGCCCCTCATCGGCTTTCATTTCACATCCCACATCACGCATTCTCACCCGCGCGAGGCAGAGAGAAGTGTCCCGTGACGCCGGGGCAGCGTCTGCAGAAGACGCTGGCCCTCCAGCTGGCGCCGAAGTCGGACGCCAAGACACGGAAAAACCTGGCGCTGAACGGGGCCCTGCCGGACCAGCCGGACGGCCTGGCCTCGACCACACAGTGAGCCCTCGCTCTCTGAAAAGGCTAGCGGGTGTTTGTCGCCGGCTCTGTCAGCGAGCCGTAAGCTGATCTGTGTTCGGTTGGTGGTGCAAATAATTTTTGTTATTTGGAAGGCATGTTCAGTTGAGAGTGCGACAGGACTACAATCTCCTGTTCTGCCTCAACTGGAATGGATCATGAAGACTAAAGAGAATGCCACAAAGTGTATATTTTACTTTTGAGTGATTGAATGATGTGTACATTTTATGCAATCGCGTGCTCCAGATATTTAGCATCCAACTGAATGTCTCACGTGGCAGGCTTTAATGCGTTAACGTTAACGCTAACATTATTCAATATATAACTGTATTATCGATAGGCGAATAAGGGGCGAAACATGCACATGAAAGTTATGTAGTTTTCGGTGACTAGCTGTCCAGACAGATGGTGCGGTAAATTACGCGTCTGTCAATGGAAGTGTCCTTTCACGGTTCTTTTCTTTTCCTTTTGTGTTAACGGCTTGCAATTAAAATGTTTCCTTATGTATTTGTGCATGTCACGACAGTGTACGGCACACTAAAAACTGTCGGAAAGTAATTGTTCGGTAAGCTAGAAGTTCTCATTTGGGTCTCTGTTTCCAAAAGCCATACCTCCAACTACTTAGTCGTATTTTTCGAATAGATGTTTGCATATCTAGAACCGCCCCCCACACGCAATGTGATAACCATTTGGGATAAACGGCTTAACAATCCGAAACACTCATCAGTGACCCATGTCCTCCTGTGAGTGGCATGGCGTCCACGCCACGAACTCAGCGGCCAGCTCACCAATTCTTCAACTCTTCTGAGCCCACTATCCGCCAACATCGGTGTTACATGTGCATTGTCATAGCTACATGGCGCTCCACACATGCCGGCAGGCTCAGCCACCCGGATCAGAAAGTATTCGGCCTGGCCGTCTCCTACTCCGTCAAGATAAAGTTGTACCTGAGTTCTCTGGCAGGCAGGGTGGTGGCCGAGATGCCCTTCACACTGACGCACATGCAGGTAGGTGCATGTTGGCTGCAGCCAGTAACCGGGGTAGAATGCGTTCGGCTTCCCTTTATTACGAGCGAGGGCCTAAGGTGGGCGGGTTTCGCTCGAATCACGACACAAATGGCAGACTGAGAACAGTTTTGTGTGCGATATGTCCACAACTTCAGTATTATAGAAGCAGATGTCTTCATAGCTGAGATCCTAGGCGACGCCATCTGCCATTGGAGAATACGATAGACGTACTGAAAAACGACGTCATTGGAAAACTAACCACTCTAGTGGTTCACCATCTTCCCTACGGCTCAAATTACATGCCTATTCCTTCTGTTTCGGTCCTAGCTATCCGTCGACGTGAGTTTCACGTTTGTTTTTGTTTTGCCAGTTTCAATAAAAAACACGATTCTTCGAATAATTCCCGACGGATCGGTCTTAAGTAATGAAACATTGACGACAGCCTTTAGCCACGGTCCAACAAAATATTATCATGTCAGAAACAAGGTGCAGTCTCTTCTGTCCCAAACGTGGCTGTTTCCTCACGCTGCAGTCAGATGCGCCTGAGGAATATGGCCAATCGCGAGGCTTTCACAAAATGTCAAGGGTCAGTACCAGGCATGATGATGGAGCCAGACTTCTGGCTTCCAAGCGGAATCTAGGGCCAAAACATGACGTAATGTCGAATTCGAAGCCGAACTCGGTGGCTTTGAAAATTGGAAGTGCCACGCCGAAACCAAAGCCAGTGCTTAAAATTCCAAAAAGCAGAGCATATTCCCAAGTCAGTGACTTCTAGCTTTGCATGCGCGAAAACAAAGCCCAAGCCAGCAGTATGGAAATTGAGAAAAGCAAAGCAAAAGTCAAACCCATCAGTTTAAAATCAGGAGGCCGAAGCCGGAGCCGTGTTACGTTGTTTTGTGGAACCAAAACATCTTCGTGTAGGCTAAAACTGTGTGGGGTCAGTAAATGTTGTACTGGATTTGCGGACCAACTGAGGCAGTGCGTTGCCATTACGCATGAAATTTTCGGACTTTTGTCATGTCTTGCCGTAAAAAGGGGGGTAGTGATTGATTAGGGCTTTTAGCCAGACGTGAATCGCAGTCTTCAAAAGTTGTGTGGTATATTGGTGTGACATAACGAGTAAGACTGTGTTTGTAAAGCAGAGCCGCAATCGGAGTGAAAAAGATTGCCATGACAGAGCCGAAATTAGCGGTTGAAAACCACAGCGCGCAGAGGCCGGAGCCAGAATTCAAATCTGTTTAAAGCTAAAGCTAAAGCCATCTGTTAAAAAATGTCACACAGTCGAAACTGAAGCTAACCGCTGGAATGGTACAAGACAGAAGCCGAAGCCCAAGTCAGCCGTAGAAAATGCCTGAAAGTTGAAACTGAAACTGAAGCCATTCGTGGATCGTGTGTGCATTTTTCAGATTTGTGTGCAGTTTCTCACAGCCGAAGCTGAAAACCGAAGCCGGCTTTATCCTCATGGCTGGCTGGTACAATCTTCGGCACAGTGGCATTAGATGGAAGGCGGCAAAGTTCGAGTTTTTGGCAAAAAAAGAACTAAAGTTGAAATGCGCCTCACATAATATTTGTATTTGAAATGAACATGCAGTTTAGCGTGTGGTAAGACAGTTGAGAGGTTTTCACCGAACATGATTTATCATTCGGAAGCTCTCCGGTAGAGTATGGCGCTCTTGAGGTCAGCAGAATGCAATGAGTTTTAGTTCGGTGGGTCGTTGGAGCTGAAAACATCGGCAATGCGACTTAAGCCTTAAGTCTGGGGATCAAAGGCGTGAATTTCTAAAGCTCGAAGGGATTGTGCAAGCTGTTGCCATAAAAACTGAGCCTGTTTGAAGAACAGATAGGTCAAGGCGATGATAATCTGATGCAGGCAGCGGTATTCTGGAAATGGCTTCACCGACAAAAAATCATGAGCATTGGATACAAAATAATTAAAGTATAAAGCGTTCCGAAATGCACGGAGAGTCATCGCTTGCTCTCTGTGGCACCAGCTGGCGCAGCACTGCCTACCTTCGAGATCACGACAATATTTCATTTATTTCATCTAGCGTTAAAAGTAAATGGTCTCTACTGAAGTATTGGAAACATTGAAATCAAATGGTCCGCAGTGAAGTATTGGACAGTCGTCTGGGTGGAGTAATCATTGTCTTCGACAAGCAATGGCAACTGATTGTGATCCGATGCTGCGAGTCACCACGATAGCGGAACTCAGAATCGAGGGAGCAGTTAAGTAGCTATAGCAGTCCTTCGACTTATTTGCAGCTGAAGTTAATGCGTAAGACTGCATTTTATGTTCAGAAAAGGAATAATTAACTGACCACTGTCAAAGCTTACCAAAGAGACCAAAGAGAGGGCCACTAATCGACCGGAAGCAGGCTATTGTCACATTTTCCGAAACCGATCGTATATGTAAGACGCCATGGCCTAAGCCGTGAGTTCATGCCACGAAACCTATACAGACCGTTTGATCGCGTGCATTCCACATAGGCGTTTATGCACAGGCTCTATCGCTGCATACAAGCTTGCTTAAAACCCTGTTAAAAGAAATGGTTCACATTTGAAGATTTTTGAGCGTGCATCAGATATGATGAAACAAGCTTACTTATAACTTTTGGTATACTTTTTAAATGAAAGACTGCTGTAAACAGCACGATTCTCTGTTTAGCAGATGTTCCCCAATGCGTTACGGTTTGATTAGGTCTTCTTACCTTGCACAGCATTGGTTGAGAGCCAATTGGCTGCCGTTATATTTGAAATTCGTGCTCACGAACGCCAGATATAAACGCCTTGATAAACCTATTAAAAAGGGCAGGATTGTGAAAAGCATTGGAGGGCCTTCCAGACGGCTTTTTTTATTTCAAAACCCCAATAAATGTGAAACACTCATTTTAACTGTGATCGATGCATGTTCAGAATGCTAGCATTTGATGCGATGCGTTCATTTACATTGCCTAATTTGTAAACTACTGCATACTCATCACTTTCTTTGGCTGAAGTTGTCCGGCCCGGCCAGGCCCATAGCTGGTCACTTTAAGACAGTGTTAGCACAGTGTGTTTTACACAGGAACAGAGAGAGTTTGAACACAGTGTCTTAACACAGCATCCAGTGTTTAGACAGCGTCAATACGAGCTCGGGTGGCTGGTGGAACATCCTTTGCTCGGGTGGGGCTCAATTTGGCCCCTAAGATCTCAGAAATTAAGAGAGCTAACATCAATTTTGGAGGATGTGTTGACCTGTGTGTAAACTCATTTGGATCAAAGTTTGAGGTTCCTAGGTTATGACCCTCGGGCCAGATAAGGCCAAACATGGTCAAACTACAGGTTGGTGTCCAAAGTGCCCCCAGGACCTAGAAACCTGCTCTTAGCAAAATATCGCATGTTTATTTAAGGGCAGTGACCTTATTCAACCTTTCGAACGTCATGGTGACCAAAATCATACCAGAATGCTTTGAGTTTTACATTTCAATAGGTAGCAAAGATTACCTCAGGCAAAATCTTCCTAAACACAAAGATTGACTTGGGTCATTTTAGGTCAGCGACCTATTTTAAGCTTGAAGAATTTCATGGAAGATGAATATTGGGTTTCCGTTATCACCACATTCGAAATGATCACTAGAAACCAGCACGTACTGCAAGCTTTAGAATGGTAAAACAGGTTGGTTTTGACTTTGATCTGACCTTCATACATGACTCTAAGTCAATGGAATTTGTTCATTTAATTGTTGTGTTGCCTGAGAAAGTATGTCAGAGATGTATGGCTTCGTCCAACACTCCGTTGTTGCATCGGATTGAATGATTCCCGAGAAATTAACCTCACTGATTCCATGACCTTTCTTTGACCCGCCGTAGGTCAGCGACCTTGCGAGGTAAATCTAAATTTTTGATTCCAAATGATCCGTTAGTCCATTTATGGTTATGTGAAGTTTATGGGGTTTTTTTAGTAATGCAAAGTTTGGCGCGGCTACGCCTCGCCGTTGGGAAATTACTCCGGAAAAAACCTTCGGGGAGCAAACTGATCCCTTTTCGAGCGCAAGCTAAGGAAGCATGCCACCTTTTTTGTTCATTTTACTTCTATTCAGATCAGATGCGTACGATTTGGACTGTAATACCAATTTTCTCAAAACCATTCTGAATAGCTCCGAATTTTAATTTTAAGTATCCACTCCTGCGGGAAAGATCTCATTGGACCCCTGATCACCACCATGTAGCTAATACCTTTAATTACTTTGCTCTTTGCAACGTGTGCTTGGTAAAAATTGCAACATTCTCATGTGTCAACATGTTTGTGTAATAAATGCTGCGAAAGCTCGAAATACTCCATTCAGGCAAAAGGCAAACACACATGAAACTATTATGCCGCGAATTCGACATAACACTTCATCATGTTCTTGATTTCTCCCCTTGACGTTTACCACAGCGGCTCCTTTCGAGGGGCACTTTGGTTTTTGGAATGAAAATATCACGTGGTTTATAGTGACGCACAGGATGGAGCTTCAATCAGCACACCACTCGGTAATAGGACCTTGCCGCCCGCTGAGCCAATCACAAACTATTTTTTATCTGCACCAGCAGAGGTGCGGGGGCGGTTGTCATCACAACGGTGGTCGCGATTGCAATGGATTGCAAGTGCTGTTATAAAGCGCTGACAGCATTACTTGGACTCGAAAATAATTGTACTTGATATCCTTACGATGCCAGTTTCTAAACTGAAAGTGATCGCTGTAAATATATGCCAAGTTGATCAAAGAAAACCAGGCGCGTGAGCGTTCAATAAATGTTTCAATGGCTGCCACACTTTGATGAAAGACAGGCTGTGTTTAGGTTTCACCGCACGACAACGCCACCTCCCGTCGTCCCGTCGGCCCGCCTCCTAACTGCCACCCGTTGTCTCTGTGGCCGGCAGTCGGACTTGCGGCGCCTGTGCAGTCCCTTGCCGGCCGTTCCCAGCCCGGAGCTGAGCACGCCGAGCCCAGAGCCGCGGGCCGTTCGGCCGGCGGCGGTCCTCGGACGTAGCGGCAGCCTCGAGCCGCCGCGGCGCACCTCGCCCCGGCCGCTGCGCCGCGTGCGCTCCGACTGGCCCGACAAGCCGGACCGATGGCGCGGCGAGCCGACAGGCGGCGAGCGGCGGGCCCGCCGGCGCCAGAGACGCGCCGCCTCCCCGGACATGGCCGACATGCTGCACTTCAGCCTGTTCAAAAAGCAGCGGGACGGCAGGCAGCCGCTCGAACCGCTCCTGTCCCTGGAGCCGGTCGTGCGGCGCACCAGCAGTCTGGATCACTAACCTTGGCAGGCTTGGCAGGCTTGTGATTTTGTGTCGTGCGATTGTTCACGGAAGCGCACCGAGGGTGTTTCAACCTTTGTACCCATTGGGCCTATGTTTAGATTTCTGATCGGTACAGTACTATTTAACTCAATGACCGGTACGTTGCTGCGGTGACTGAGGACCGTCGCCGTATGCCGCATGCCCAAACCACAGCACCCCCTGCGCTGATGAATGGAAGACTGGAGGTTACTCGCAGAGCAAGTGGAGTACATTCCGTTCTTGCCGCATTGGACTCCTATGCAGTAAATGCTGACATGAATATTCAACACTTGAAGAGGATTGGGGTCGTAAGCATTGGTCATTGTTACCACAGGCTTGGTTGGTGGCAAGAGAACTCAAGCATAAATAGCTGTATGAGCGGATTTAGGGGTTGCGTGGGGAGATTTGGAAATGGGCTTGGTCGCAGGGTTATTTAGGGGAATAAGAATCGCAAAAGGCTACTACAGCGTTCTCTTCTTGACTGCGTGGACGGGACGTATGGATGTACTAGCTGTCTGGACTTAGGATACCTTCGGTGCTCTTAACCGCGATCCGTCCTTGCGTCCTTGTGATGGTCTCTGGGTCTTGCAAAGTACCAGTCAAAAGTCATATCCCCAAAATATCGTTCCCATCGCATGCTTGTTGCTTGGAAAGCCACCAGAAAGCTCATTTAAGCTATCCTCTTGACGAAAGATAGTGGAAAGAAATGTCGTGCTCTATGACGCATGATGGATGAAGAGACAGTCGTTCGCAGTGTATCCATTTTCCGTGCAAGCATTAATGTGTGTATCGCTCCCACGCAGGCTCGTGTGACCAAATTAGGCAGGGAGCTCGGCATTGACCTGACATGAGACAGTACAACAGTCTTATACTGGCAGATCTTGTACTGCCAGCAGCCCATGCTCCACAGCTGAGTATGGCTGTGTGATTAGAAGCGAGCTTTTGACGTGCACATAATGTTGTAGCCCTCCGCCCAAGCATGTAAATTGCGCCCCTGTTATAAGTGAATGTGCAGTTTTGTTTGTTTTTGTACAGGTGTGGTCTCGTTATCACGTTTGCTCTCACCTTTTCATATCACGCGTTGTCGGGGATCACGTTCACGTGGTGATGCGCAAGATGCGTTTTTCTTACTGAATGTGCTTGCTAGTGGCGTAATGCTGTGTTGGCGATAACCTCTGAACAAATGATCGAGTCAGTCTGCATCAAGCACATGCGGGTGAACTACGTTTACTCAAAGCTCCTGCACTTGTCGGTGCACTCTTTGCCATCACTGGTACCGTTTTCAGTTACTGTGAGAGACTGGATTGGGGTGTGTCATCCACTGTAAGTACATGTTCGGCGATACATGTTCCCGCGTCAGGTGTCGGCATCGTCGTGTCTATTCGAGCTGCGACAATACTTGCACCAGCCAAGACTGAGCTAGATATGGCGGATGATGAGCAAAAGCATGCCCACATTATCGCTTGAGTCGTTGCCATTTTTGCGGAGCTTAACTGGGGAGAGAACGCATCAGAAACTGACTGGCATTTTCCCTTTGACCTTCCCGAGGATTTCGTTTTGGCTGGATGTAAAAGGGATGGTGTTCATTAGGGCGTGTCATCAGTAACAAAACCAAGCGAGACAAACGCATTGTTTGGCGCTGGAGCCCAAAAGTACACGGAATAGCAAACGTTCTTTCCAGAGACTTAAATTCGTGATGCGCGAACCGATCAAAATATCCCTGTTCATCGACGACCAGCGTCGCAGTCACCGTATGCTGGGCAGCGCCGGCCGCCGCAGGTAACACCAAGCCGTGGGCAGCGATAGGAAATAGTTTTATGTATTGAAACGATGCTACCGGGCGCTTCTTAAGCCGCCGTACGAAAATATCCAGATTTAGGATCGAATATGTGGATCAGACGTTGCCCGATCTATTGTCATATGGCAGAAACTTGATGTGTTGTTGAGTGTGAACTCGTGCAAATACGTTGGTACGTACCCTTCAGGCCTTCAGTGCTTTAAGACAACTCTCGTACTGCAAACAAAACCATGCATTGCACATGACTCACTGGCCTGCTGAAAACTGAGTACGTAAAGCAAGATCTGCAGCCCGCACCGCGGGCGTAGAAGGGGGATTAGGGTGATCACATGCACATCTTGCTCCTGGCCGAGACTGCGTATTCGATGCACTGGCCCAGATGCTGAGTGGGAGAGCCGAGTGATGGTCAAGCGGCCCGCTCTCCGGTCCAGCCTCTTCTGAATGACTGTCCTGCACCTGGACAGCAGGCGGACGGAATGGTGCGGCGGCGGCGGCGGCGGCGGCGGCTGCCTTGCCGCGGTCTGCTGTTGCCATCACCTGCGACAGAGCATTTAAAGGGGCTGTGATAGAAGCACAACAACCATGAAATTACTGAATAGTAGACACAGTGCATCTTGTAACCATGCGTGCATTTTTAATTTGCATCTTGATCAATTGAGACGTAAAGATAGATAGAGACACGAGCGATTGTAAAGCAATAGACTGAAGTTGAAACGGGAGTCTGATATTTTTGAGGATGTGATTAGTTAACAACTATCGGCTTACCTCAAGAGTAGCCAATATTTCCTAGACGCTTGGGAGAATTTGGGGTTACCTGAGCTAGGCCGTGGTGGGGCCGTACCGCGCCTCTTCTCTCATCGCCCCCGAACACTCCTCGGTGACGATGCGCACGGCGCTCTCCTCCGCCTGCAGATGGGGCGGGACGGCCAGCGGAGCCTACTATTAGTCCCACAGCTCACCGTCGCTGAGGCTTCGCAGTGGAGACTGTGTGGTTTGCGCCAGATCAGTTTGGTGTTCCCCACGCCCCCGAAGTTTATCGCTGGGATGGCGAGAAGTCTAGACTGAAGAAGACCCTCGGTTTGCTGATCACACACGGCGCGACGATCGGAGCCGCCTGTCCGCGGACCGCACGGTTCTCGTCCCCATCGTGTCCAGCAGCAGCTGTTCCCGACAGGTCTAGTACCCGCTGCGCTGGAAGGCTGGCTGAACTGTGGCCTGTGTGTGCTGCGGCAGCTCGCGGAGAAGGGCGATGCTCCGGAACGTGATGCGCGAGCCAAAGTCGCAGCTGCTGTTCTGCCGGATGGGGGACCGTACTGGCACGTAGTGACCAGCCAACCTCGTACTGGACGAGGTCCTTGAGAGCGGGGCTGAAGGTCTCGGTAGATATTCGTTACGACCTAAGCATTAGATCATGCAAAAATTATTGAGCCTCTTAAAGGTATGTAATTATGCTGATCTTTCAGTCCGTAAAGGTAACGGAATACCAATCAGTAAACATACTAGAAAACATGAATCAACAAGTGAATGATTCCACATACTATGACACAACGCATGATAATGAGTAAATGCTCACTAGTGAGCCCATGAAATGCCCAGTGATAGGTGATAAAGTTTAAACATTCACCGCTATTAACTCGAAGATAATGCGTTTTCATATTTACTTTGGATGGTTCAGTGGTCCGACTGGCCGCCGGGCTGTCGCAGTTCGGACGGAGCCCTTTTGAACGCCGGAGGCCAGCAGGCGCAGCACCTGCTAGCCGGTGCTCAGCTGCTGGATCAGGTCGACCGGCAGGTTTGGCACGTGCCGCGGTATGGGCTCGAATGACACAACGCTCCTCTCCCATGACCTCTGCAGCGCCGATGAGTCCAGGAAAATTTCGGTGACATGGTCGTGCCGTCCAGGCTCAGCAGCAAATGGGGGAGGTTCAGCTCGTTGACGTGCAGCTTGTAGATGAACCAGTGTACGGGTGACTCGGTGGCAAGCTCAAACAGCCGGAACACGCCGCTTGTCGTCGCGGTGTTGACGGCCATGCCATCGCAGCCGAACACCCTGGCGTGACCGTCGCACTGCAGGCTCACGCAGTGTAGCTCGTCGAGCAAGTACAGAGCGAGGCCGGGCTCGGACGTGGAGTGAGTCACGTAGCGGCCGCCTAGCTCAGCGATGATAACCACGCGTTTTTTCGACGGTATTCGTGCGGCTGTGTGTGGCTCATGTAGGTCCTGTCTTCGCGGCCGTCTACGTAGGGGATGGTCAACTTGACTCATGGACTGCTTCAGTATTTTGATGTGCCCTCTCCTTTCTCGCTGTCTCTTGCGCGCCAGATCTTCTTAGGATCTACGGTATTTAATTTAAAGCAGCCAGTTTGTCTCTGCTGTCTTGATGGAGGGCGTTGATGATACCAGCAACGGCCCGGTTCGAGCCAGCGTAGCTGTCAACTATCAGAGCGGTGTCACGGGCTTGACCGTCAGAGATGCAGTGCCTGCTGCTGAACCTGAGTCGCCCTCCCTGCCGGCTGCTAATGCTGAACTCGACCCTGCTCCGGAACCAAGTGGTTTCAGCGCGGGCGAACCGGCCGAGACCTCGGATTCTGACACAGCCCCGTACACGGTAGGAGGTGGCGATGACTTCGACGGTTCGTTCCGGGTGAGACCGTTGTCACTGCAGATGGCAGCGTCGACGACCCGCAATTCTTTAATAAAAGTCAACTTAATCGCTGTTTTACAATGTTTTGCTGGTGTTCTTCGTGATATCCTTTTCATAGTTAATCCACCAGGTACCAGAAGTGTGGAACGTGACAAGATCGAGGCTTGTTGGAGGATGGCCCCAGTGTGTAAAATAAGTGGTGCTGGTATAGAATGCGATTTTTATGGCCCATTGAAGTAAATTGTTTTCGGGTCACGAATATCAC